TTTAATATTTATTTAAATATTTAATATATAATAATATTTTATTGTAATAATAGTAACTATAATTTTTAATATTAATATAAAAGAACAATGAAAAATTTTATTTATTCATTACTTTAAACAAAATTACAAAAAAATTTAAGTAAGTAGCATAATTATAGAAATATAAAAATATAAAAAATAAAATAAAATAATTAAAAAATTATATATAAATAATAAATAATATAATAATATCTGAAAAAAAAATTATTAAAATTTATAAATAAATATTAAATGAAAATCAATTTAAATATAGTTTAAAGTAAAAAAAATATTTATTAAAAAATTAAATTAAAATAAAAAATATAAATATAATAAAAATTAAAATAATATTTTTATTAATATTAATAAATATATATTTATATATAAAATATTATTCAAATTAATTATTAAAACATTTATTATTTTAATAAGTTTAATTTAGATTATGAAAAAAAAAATTTAATTACAAATAAATAATTTAAGTATATAATCTTATTTTATAACTTATGTATTTTTTAATAGTATTTACAAACAATATAATTATTTATTAGTTAAAGTAAATTCTTCTTAAAATAAATAAATAAAAAAAATAATAAATATAATATAAAATAAAGTTTAGGAAAATGATATAGATGAAGTTATATATAAAAAAAATATATATATATTATTAATAAATAAATTATATATTTATATTAAATTATTTTGAACTAATTAATAGAAAATAAATGAAAATAATGTAAATGCTCTATTTGAAAATAGATATTAGTCAATAAAATTAAAAAAAATTAAAAATCAAATAGATATAGTAATTTCATTAAAACTAATTAAATGGTTAATAAAGACAAAAAAAATAAAATGATAAGGAAAATAATATAAATATAGGAATTATATTAAATAAAATATTAATAATGGTATGATAATTAATTAATATAAAAATAATATGATATTCTAAATAATTGTTAAAATAATTTTAATTTGAATTATTTTATAATAATAATAATTACATCAAATATTGATATCTTAAAAAAAATAAAAATATAAAATAAATATTAATTACATTTTTTTACAAAATATAAATAAATAATAATTATTAATATTTTCTTAATATTTAAATAAATTTAATATAAAAATATGTTTTTTATATAATACATATACAATAAGTATTAAAAATTTTAAATTTAAATTTATATAAAAAAAATGCAGAAGAAAAATAATTAATTTCCTAACATAAAAATAAAAATTCATACTATATTTTTATAAAATATATTAATAATCAATTATCATTAATGGATAAAATAGGTTAAAAGTAAGGATGTAACATGGCTTCTTTAGCAGTTATTCTTTCAGCCTTATGTTATAAAAAATAATATATAAAAAAATATTTATATGTAAATATGTAAATATGAATATATGTATATTTGTATATATGTATATATATATATATATATATATATATAAATATATAATTATATTTTATATTATATATTTATATAAATATTAATATTCTTTTATTAATTTGAAAATTTTATTTTTATTTTTAAATTTATTATTTTAATTTTTACATGATTATATAAAAGCATTTTTGATAATAAATCTATTGCTTCATTATTAGATAAATTTTTATTTTCATTATTAACGAATTTATTCAATTGTTTTTTAGGGTTTTTTCCTAATATTCCTTCATATTTTTTATCTAAAGTTAATTTATAAATAGACAAATATTCGAAAAGTTCATTAGTACCCAATACTCTTGTTATTTTTTCTAATTGATCATAATTATCATTTCCTTAGAAAAATGGTTCTTTTTTGAATATTATTCCTGCGAACATAGCCCCTAGACTCCATATATCCAAACTATAATCATAATATTAATAATCTACAAGTAATTCAGGCCCTTTAAAATATCTTGAAGATACTCTTACCTTTTTAATTTTTATATTATTAAATATTTTTTTGTTTTATTTACATTATAATCTTTTCCTGGAAAATAATATTCTGCTAAACCCCAATCTATAATTCTTAATAGTCTTTTTTCATGATCTATCATTATATTATGAGGTTTAATATCTCTGTGCATTATTCCTTAACTATGTGCATAATCTAAACACTTTTTTTTTTATTTAAAAATAAAATAAAATCCATTAATTATATAAAATAGTAATAGATTTATACTTTTAAAATTTAATATGTATAATATCTAACATCCATATCAGATAAAGTTGGATAAAGTGTTCTATAATCAATATTATTTATATATTCGAATACCTATAATTTATGTAAAAAATAAAATAAATATATTATTTTTAATTATAATTTATTTACTAAGCTTGTTGTTTTAGATGCTGGGTCCCTTACTATATCTTAAAGACTAATAACATTTATATTTCCTCCTATTTTTTATAAGACTGATATTTCTCTTTTAATTTTTTTTTTCTTACTTTTTTTTTTTTTTTTTTTTTTGGAATATTTGTTTTTTTTATTATAGCTTTAATTTTTTTATATATTACTTGGTTTTAATACTTTTATTACACATTGTTTATTAATTAAAGTATTTATAGCTTCATATACTTCTGAATATTTACCTCTTCCAAGCTTTCTTATTATTTCATAATTATTTTGTTCACTATTTATATTTTTTTATTACCTTATTTTTATAAAATAATTATTTATATACCCCCAATTTATATCAATGTTTTCATAATCGTAAAAATTTGAACCTTTTCTTATATTAGCATCTGCATAGAATTTAGGCTTTGATACTTTAATATCCATTTTTAATTATTGAGGTTTAAATTTTTTTATTTTTTTTTATAAAAATATATAGTTTTGTTTTTAGTTTTTTTATTTAAATATTTTTTTTGTATTTTAAATAAGAAAAAAAAAAAAAAATTAGATTGAGATTAATAATAATTAATATTTATTTATTATCATTATATTGTATTTAAATTTTAAATATAGCTTAAAATAAATATATATTTTAAATAAAAAAAGAATAATATAATAATATAATATATATTATTATAAATAAATATTTTATTATTTAATTATATTATAAACACAAAAATAAATATATATATTATTTATAAATAAAATAATATATATTTTAATTATAAAATACACCTTATAAAAATAAAATAATATATATTATTTAACATAAAAATTAACAAATGAAAAATTCAGGTTAACCAGTACTTTTTATAGATATTACAGAAACAAAAGACGAATTAAACAATAAAAATTATTAATTTAACATAACACCTGAAGCAATATAATTATTACAATAAATTGGTGATAGAAATGTATTTAAAAAACTAATATAATTTAAAATAAATATATATATATATATATATATATATATATATATATATATATATATATATATATTTAAATAAAAAAGATTGCAGTATTAGTAATAGCCGGTCCATAAAGAACAGGAAAATCTTTTTTAGCAAATCGATTTTTAAAATAGTAAAAAATATATAAAAAATTATTTATAAAATAAATAATAAATAGAATGGATGGTTTCGCAATTGGTCCAAGTACAAATCCTTGCACAAAAGGCATTTGGGTTTGGAATAAACCTGTAAAATTAAATGAAACTACTGATATGATAATTTTAGATACAGAAGGGTTAAATTCAATTTGTAAATAAAAATTATTTCATGAAAAAAAAAATCCTTTTATTTTTTTGTAAAAATAAAGAAAGAGATTTAACAATTGATATGAAAATTTTTTCCATTTCTGTATTACTTGCAAGTATGTTTATTTATAATAATCTTGGACATATAGACGAATCAGCAATTGAAAATTTATCTTTGGTTGTTAGATTAAGTGAAAATATATGCATTTAGTAAAAATTATATTTAAAAAATCTAATATATATTAATATAGAAAAATGTCAGACGGAGATGCAAAATTAGGAGAATTTTTTCCTTCTTTTTATTGGATATTAAGAGATTTTTCATTAGATTTAAGAGGAATTACACCAAAAGCTTATTTAGAAAATTGCTTAAAACCATTACCTGGAAACACTTCAGAAATAATTAAAAAAAATGAAATTAGAGATAAATTTAGATAATATTTTTAAATAAGAGATTGTGAAGCATTAGTACGTCCTTTAGATGAAGAACACAAATTAGCGAGGATTGAAAAATAACCCTGGAATTCATTAAGACCAGCATTCATGTAATATATTTATATATATATATATATATATATATATATATATATATATATAATTATATTTATTTATTTATTTATTTATTTATTTATTTATTTATTTATTTATTTATTTATTCATTTATATAGAGAAGGAGTTACAAATATCGAAAAAAAAGTATTTTAAGGAATTAAAGCTAAAAGCATTATGAATAAAACTTTAACAGGAAAAATGCTAATGGGTTTAGTAATGGAATATTTATAAGCAATTAATACTGGAGGAATTCCGAATATAATGAATAGTTTAGAAGCCGTTGTGAGTAGTTAAGTAAGAAGGGAACATGAAGAGGCCCGAAGTTAATATTTGCAGAATGTTAGTTAAGCATTTTCACCTGAAAAATTACCTATAGATGAAGAAATATTAATAGAATAACATAGAGTTATTGTTGATAATGTATTTTCAGAAATGTAAAAAAGATCAAAAAGCTTTATTGATGCTGAATAATTAATTGAAATTCGAAAAGATTTATAAGAATTGATAAATACGGAATTTAATATTAAAATTTAACAAAATAAAGAACTTTCTTTGAATTCTTGTAAAAATGTATTGTTAAAATTTATGAATTAATTCTCTTTACCAAATATATAAAATCCTGATTAAATTAATGTGTCTTTTTAAGAAAAAATTGATGATTTTTAAAGATTTTTAAAAAATTATTTAATTAATTAAAAAGGAAATGGAAAATATAAAGTTTTTTCAGAGGTTTTTCCTGGTTTTATATTTGGGTATTTTAAATAATGTTTCGAAAAAATGAACTCAGTTTATAATGAGGAAGTTAACAGAAATAAAGTCAAAGTTAAATAAGTTAATGAATAAGCGGAATTATTAAGAAACTCTATTAAAGAATATGAAAGATTAACTCTTGATTTATAAAGGGAAATCGAATAATAGAAAAGTTAATTGGAAAAACTTTCAAGAGAAAATAGTAAAACTAAAATGTTTTAAGAATAAGATGATAAAAGCTCTTTTGGATAAATCGAATAACTATAGCTTTAAATAAAAAATAAAAAAGAAAAAAATAAATAATTGAAATAAGTTAAATAATTTTGATTTTTTGTTTATATTTTTATTTTAAATATATAAAAAGGAAAATTTAGAAGCATCTGAAAATTTATATAAAGTAAGAAGTGAACTTAATTAAAAGAAAAAAGAAATATAAGGTTTTAGTTTATATAAATAAGATTTAATAATATTATATATATATATTTTTATAAATAAATATATATATATATATATATATATATATATATATATATATATTTAATACATATTATAGGGTTAAAAAGTGAAATCGATGAATTAAAAAAATTGACAAATAATAGTACAGGATTGGGTAATGATTAGGAAATTTAAGAAGTAATTACTGCAGTTAGGAATTTAAAAAATTAAATAACTTTTATGGATAATTTTTTTAGTACTCGAAATTCAATAGAATCTAGTTATGCCTCTTCTTAAGATACACAAATAAAAGAATATGAATAATTTAGAATGGAAAAATAAAAAATAATTCAAGATTATAAAAACAAGTTGGATTTGTATAAATAATAAAATGAATAAGAAAGGGAAAGAAACGTTAGAAAAATTGCCACATAAAATAAATATATGGAAGAATTAAAAATAAAAAATATGGAATTAACTGAATAAAATTAAGAATTAACAAAAAAATCAATTTAATTAAAAGTATAATATATATAAAATAAATATATTTTATATATATATATTGATAAAATATATAATATTTATAGGAATTAATTAAAGAAAATGAAAAGTTAAGGGAAAACAATTCAATAAAATAATAAAATTTAGATACTCTTTAGCTAGTATTTTAAGAATAATAAAAATAATTAGAAAAAAATTCCAATTTAAAATTAGATTTAGAAAACAAGTTAGCTTTTATGAAATCTGAATAGTTCTAGTTAGTTTCATTTAAAGAGTCTTTCCCTTATTTATTAAGGGAATCTTTAAAATATATACTTAATAGAAACAGTAAGTTAAAACATTCTTTAAAAACTCTTAATGAGGAAGATATTTAATAAGTAAAAGAATGTTTTTTAGAAGTAGGAGTAGAATTAAATTTATGAATATAATAAATACATATAAATATAAAAATTCTAAAAACTTTAATATTGGTGTATTTTTTATTTTTTTGACTATATAATTTAAATTAAAAAAATAATAATTTTATATTAAAAAAATAAATAAATTTATATATATATATTTATATATAAATATATAAATATTTATATATATTTATATATATCTTTATATAAAATAATATTTTTTATTTTTTATGGATAAATTTATATCAATAAAAAATAAAAAAAATTATAAAAAAAAATTGTATTTATTATTTTGCTTTATTTTTAAAAAAATAATTATTTAATTTTCATTTTATTTTTTTTAATAAAAAGAAAACTAAAATTAAAAATGAGTTATTTAAATTATAGATAACATTCTATATATAATAACTAAAGTAAAAAAAAAAAAAAAAAAAAATATATTTATAAAATAATAAATAAATTTATTAGAAAACGGGAATGAAATTCTCTCAACTTAAAAAAAAAAAAATGAAATAAATTCCAAAATAAACATGATATAAAATAATAAAATAAATTATGGATAAGTAGATTATACATTATAATAAAATTAATAATATACAACCTAAAATTTATTAAAAAGCAATCATAGTACTGCTTATGAATCATTTACGAGTTAATTATAAAAAAATCAATTTAAAATAAAGAATATGATTTTTAAATAATTATAAAATCCAAAAAATTTAAAAACTTGCAAAAATAAATAAAGTCTAATAAAATTTCAAAGATAAAAAGTGTCTTTTTGATTAAAAATCTGCATATCTTTATGATCGAATTAAGTTATTTAATTAAGGAAACTATAAATATGAATAATAAAAATAATATTATGGAAAATAGAATAGTCTTTAGGAAGATGATAGCAAAAATAATTTCTGTTCTCCAGAAAAAAAAAGATACTAAGAGATTTATTAATAGTTTTTATAAAATTAAATATTCGAAAATAATGTTAAAAAATAGAACAATTTATAAATATAATAAATAAAAAACAGTATTTATTATTAAAATTGTTCTTAAAAAGCAACTGAAGTATTAGATAAAATAAATTAATATAAAAAATAAGAATAAAACTTAAAAAAATTATAAGAAATTAATAAATAAAGATATGAAAATTATAAAAATATATAGACTTAAATGTAAAAAAATTTAAGTTTAGAAAATTTAAAATAAATGAGAAATCCTAGTTTTGAATAAAACAATTATAAACAAAAAATTTGGAAAGATATTATTGAAAAAAGAAAAAATCATTCGATTAGTAATGATAATTTTTATAAAAATGAAAGAAATTGTAATTATTATAATAAAAATATAAAAATAAGTTAATAAATAATTTTTTTTAAAAAAAGTTAAAAAAATTAATGATATAGAATTTAAGAAATTCAAATAAAAATAAAATAATAATTCAATAAAAATAGAAAATAGTTATTAATAAATTTAATAAAAAAAATAACCAATAATAGATTACAATAAATAAGAATTTTAAATTAAAAAAGATTTAATTATTCTATATAATAATTAAGATAATAATAATAATGATATTCCTTCGCCAAGATTTAATAATTAAGATTTAAATTAAGAAAATAAATATAATAAATAATATAATTATAATAATAATAATAATAATAATAATAATAATAATAATAATAATAATAATTAAAGTTATGATTTATCTTTAAGCTTTGGAAATAAAAATGGAATTATTATTTGATTATTTAAAATAAAATTATTTAGAACATTATTTATTCATATTATTTATTTACAAAAGAAGAAAAATATTAAAATAATATTTAATCACTATAATAATATTTATACATTTAATTAAGTATAAAAATAATAATAACAAGACAAATTATTAAAATAAATTCTTATTGATTTTTAAATTAATTATTATAATATATTTCTTTATATATAAATATATGTATATTTTAGAATTTTTAATTTTTTATATTTAAATAATTTTTTTATTCTTTTAAATTTATATATATAATATTATAAAAGATTTAAATATTTTTTAATTTATTTAATATAGTTAATTTTTTCTATTTAATATTCAAAACAATCTATTATTTATAATATTTTATATTATATGAGAAGATATTATAATAATTAATAAAAAAAATTATAAATAATTTTTTTATATGATATAAATATTTATATACAATTTAACAAATTTAAAATTTTCATTTTGTTTATATTAAAAGAAATAATAATAAACATATTTATGAAATATAACTAATATTAAAAGAATCTTAAATTAAATTACTAAATCATTTATTAAATTGTCTAAATACTTTTTATATTCTTTTTTATTGAAAATTTTATTACTTATAAAGCATAATTAAAAAATAGCTTAATATAAAACTAACTTTAAAATGTATAATTAGGTTCCGTAAAAATTACAGATTATATATCCAATTTTAACTTATAAAACATATAAAATTATAAAAAGATAAAATTAAATAAATAAATGTAAAAATAAAATATATATATATACAAATATATTATAAAATATTAAATTTATAAAAAATTAATAATGTAAATTATTTTGAAAAAAAAATTAAATTGTAATAAATAAATAAAAATATAAATTATTCTATTATTTTTGTATATATAGTTAACAAAATTATAATAAAAAATTATAATTAAATATATATATATTTATATATATATATTATATATTATTATATTTTTTTTTATGTATTATATTATTTTTATTATTACAATTTCAATATATAATTTTTTTTTTATTTTTATAAGATATAATAATATTAATATTTGATTTTAACTTTTTTATAAAATATTTTATTTTTTATAAATTTATATTTTATGTTTTTTTATACTTTTTCTTATATTTTTTTAGTCTAATTTTTTTTTAAATTTCAAAATATAATTATAAATTATTGTAAATATAAATTTTTATTTACAATATATATTAAAAAATATTTTTATTTCTGATTTTAAAATATATATTTTTTTAGTATAAAATTATTTTTTAAGAAAAAAATAAAATAATTAAATTTATATCTTAAAACACTTTGATTGTTTAAAAATAATAAAATATTGATTTATATAAATAAAAATATTAAAAAAATATAAATAAATTTTTATTTTTAATATTTTTTTGATTCTATAGTGTTTTATTAATTAAAAATATTATTATTTATTATAATTATAAATTTTTGACTTATTTTTTATTAGAACTAGTTTTAAAATATTTAAAATATAAATTATATATATATATATATATATATTTATTTATTTTTTATTAATTTAAATTTTTTACAACACTTTAATATAAATAATAAGTGATTTAGATTTAATTTTTCTAAATAAAATTATTATATATATATATATATATATAATTTTTAATAAATAACTTATTATTAATATTTATTTAAAATATAATAATTTATAAAAATAATTAATATATATTATTAAAAACTTATAATTGTAATTATATTTGTATATAAAATTTTTAATATATTTTTATTCAATTTTTCATTTCTTCTTTATCCTCTTCTTCTTCCTCATCCGATTATTATTATCTAATAATTTTATCAATAATACAAATACCTTCTCCTCCTTCAAGATTGTAAGGTAATGCTTTAATTTATTAAACAATTATTAATTTTTCAGTATTAGGCATTAAATGTAGATCAACCTTTTTTGTTTAAAAAAAAAATAATATTTTTTTTAGATTAAAAAAAATATAACTTTATAACAATCATTCTAATCTATTATTTTCATATTTTCGGTTCTAAAATATAATTTTTATCTCCAACTTTTATCATTACTTTTATTTGAAAGCCACTATAAATAAGTTCCTTCGGATTTTAGATAATATTGGCAAATAATAATATCATCACTTCCATTATCCCTTTCACTCAAATCGGATTTTTGGAAATTAGGAGGTTCTTTTTTACCTGATTTTTAATAAATTTTATCAGCTCTAATTATTAATCCTTCATATATTTGTGAAATAAATAAATCTTAATTTAAATAAATTCTTTAAATTTATATTAAATTTGTGCTAAAAATATTTATTATGAAATCTATTAGTATTTATTGTTTCCCTTTTATTTCTTTAGAATCTGGAACTTCTAACTATACCATAAAAATATAAGTTCCTGCTTATAAATTAACTGTTTTGAATGTATTTCGGTCTTAAATTTAACCTTTACCGAATATATATTTATATGGATATTATTTATTTTTATTATCAAATTATTAATCTTATGTTTTTTTATTGTTTATTTAGTAGTTTAATTATTTATTCTATTTATTTATATATATATATATATATATATATATATATATATATATATTTATTGTTTTTTTTTTTACTTTTTATTTATTAAAATTTCTTTTGGTTTTAATTATTATTATGCTGATTTTGGAGATTTATTATCTTATTAACTTTTTATTTATTTTAAATGTTAAAATTAGACTTCTTCTTCCAATTTTTTAATGAATTTTTCTTTTAAATACTTTATTTTTATTATTTTATTTTTCTAAGAAAAAATAAAAAAATATAAATTTACATTTTTTCTATATTTAAGTTTATCGTTTTTTAAAAGAGAAAGTAAAATTCTTATAGGAAAATTTTAAAAATTAAAATTAGAAGATTTTCTTTAATTTAATAAATTTCTATTTTATTCAATATTAATTAAAATTTTTGTTGGTAAATTTAAATTAAATTTAAAAAAATATTTTAAGTCATTATTTTGGAAATCCCCTATTGTTTCTTTAACATAAAAACTATTTTATATATTTAATTTAACTCCTTATAATATAAAAATATCCGAAAATAATAAAATGAATTAATTTAAACCTAAATATAAAGTAATTGTAAGAAATATATATAAATATTATATATTTATACTTATAAAAAACATATGATCTATATTTTCTTATTATTTATAGTTTTATTAATTGATATTTTTTTTTTCTTTTTATTTATTATCTTTATCTTCATTATTATATTCTTTTTATAAATACTTTTATAGATAGCTATATAATTCATTATTTTTTTAAAAAAAGTTCTCATTATTAATTTCTTTATCTTTAAAAAGTGTATATTCTTTTTTTATACATTTTAAAAGTAAAAATCTGTCGACTTTTGCATTCCTATATTTAATAGGTTCATTAAGAAAAATATAATCCAGGATAATAAAAGGAAAATTAACTGGAACTTTAGCATCTTTACTAAAAAAACTCTGTTTTAAATAACAAATTTTAATTTCATTATCTTCATTTTAAAAAAACTTATGAAGTGTCTCTTCCATGTCTATAATAGCCTAAGGAAGTGTTAATTCATTCCATTTTATATGTTTAGAAGGTAAAGCAGTAAATTATTAAAGAATTTAATCTGCATATCTTCTCAGTTTGTTTTATTTTAAATGATAAAAATATGATTAGTTTAATTTACTAAAAAGTTTCTATATTATTATCCATCCTATATCAAAGTCTTTATTTGTTGAATATACTACTTTTTCATACTTATTGTCCATACAAGGAATATAATCATCTATTGCTATTTCTTTCCATTGACAGTCTATATATTATTTCAGAATAAAAAATCCTACTCTATATATAAATAAAAATATAAAATATATATTAATAAATAAAATTATATATATTAAACTATATTAATTTTTTTATTAATTGTTACTAATCAATTTCATATTTAATAGTAAATATTTTTGTATATAATTATGGAAAATATGTTAATGCTTCTAATACTGTAACTAATTGATAATCTGAAAGTTCATTAAAAATTATTTAGTTAGGTCTTATAGGATTACTGAACAATTCCCTGTTTTTATATTAGTTTTCTGAAATTCTCAAAAGAGAACATGCTAAATCATCTTCAAAATCATCTAGTTCGTATTATATACTCTATATATTTATTTAAAATTGAGGATCTTCGAATTTTTCTCCAGATATTCCACAATCATCAATTCTTGCTTTGCAACAATCTAAATAAATATATTTTATATATTAGTTTTTTAATTAAAAAAAATATAATATAAAATATAAAAAAAAAATTATATTTTATTTATAAAAAAAATATATATAATTATTAAATAAATAAATTATATAATTAAAATTTTAATTTTAATATATAAAACAACATAAATATAAATAAAAAAAAATATATATATGAAAAATAAAAATATTTATATATATATATATATATATATATATATATATATATATATATATATATATATACAAATAATATAATTTTTTTTACCAATATCATATGTAGGATAACCTGGAGCATTTTTAAACTCCCATATTATATTATCTTAGTTTTTATCTAGGAATGGATTAATAAAATGATCTACACAATTATCAATATTTTTATAATTAAAAATGCTATGAGAATGATTATTAGCATTATAATATAAAATACTTCCAACTTTTCTATTATATTCCCACCTACAATAATAATACGATCCATTAGGTTCGAAATACCTTCCGATTCCATGTTTATAGCCATCTAAAAACTCGCCTTCATAATAGAATTCATTTTAAATGTCGATACTATTTATAACTTCATCTTAAAAATTAATATTTTCTTTATAGTCATCATTTCCCGTTTATAAAACACTTTATTAGGTTTTTAAAGATTTTTAAGTACTAATATCAGGCTTAGATGATGTTTTATTTATTTATTTTGAATCCTAAATTTAATTATATTTATTAGATGCATCGTTATTATCTTCTTGATCTAATTCATTATTTAATAAATTTTCTTCTTATTAAAATTAAATATTCAATTTCTATTAAAGGTAACTCTAATTTTAAGCATTAACTAATTTTAAATTTGCAATGGAATCTTTAGTTTTAGCAACATGAATACCAAATCCACATTACATACCTATATATATATATATATATATATATATATATATATATATATATATATATAATTATTTAAATATACATTTAATATTTTTTATTTATATAATTTTTTTAATTTAAAATTTATAAATCCATTAATATAATTATTTTTACCATTTACAAAATCTCCTTAATAATAACTCCCATCTATAAATATAAGTTTACCTTTACCATATTTTTAATTATATTTAAATTCTCCTTCATAAAATGAATTATTTTTATAAAATTCCTTACCATATCCATGTCTTAATCCGTTTAAAAAATTACCTTCATATCTATAATGCATTGTCATATTATGTAAAAAACCTCTACCGTTATATTTATCATTATAATATTCGCCTTCGTAATTATCGCCATTTGGGCATATTTCTATACCTGCATATTTTTAGTTATCTTTAAATTTTCCTTTAAAAAAACAATTTGTATTTTGATAATACAAAATTCCTTCTCCACTATATTAATTTTTTTCGAAATATCCCTCATATATAGTATTTTCTTTTTTTTTATTTTTATTATTTTTTTTATAGTATTAATTTACTTGCTAAATCTTTTTCAACACCATACCCATGTTTTTGATCATTTAAAATTTCTCCTTAATATTCATATTTTGGTTCTACAATTTTAAATATTAAATTAGAATTATCGTTAATTTAATTTGAAGACATTAAGATTTATAAATAATTTATAATTTTTTTATAAAAATTAAAAATATATATATATTTTAATTTATTAATGTATATAATTATATATTTAATATATATTTTTTTTTAATTAATTAAATTTAAATTTTATAATATAATTTTATATTAATAATTAATTTTTTTTATCATTTTATAAAAAGTAAATATATATAAATTATTTTTTATATTTAAAATTCCTATATTTTATATGTTTTTATTCTTTTAATTTTTTATATAATAAAAAATAACATAATAAACATTACATGTAATTATTTTTTTGTTATTTTTTTTTTAAATTAAATTACTTAAACTCAAAAGTTTAAAGCTTTTAGACTATCTTAAATAATACTTTCACTATCTTTTTTTCCGTCCAAAAACACTATTTTTTACTTTTATCAATATCCCCTACTTTTTTTTAATAATCCTATATTTTTCCAAATAATCTTAATATTCTTTTACTACAATATTCCAGAAGTAGCTATCATGTACAGCTGTAGTATTCATTCTTCTCACATACATAGAAATCTCATCCAAATCAATAAAAAGCTTTAAATCAAGAATTTCATTTAGCCATTCTTCTCTATATAGTTAACAACCTTCAATAATAAGATATCCTCCAGTTTTTTTTTTTTTTTAGATTTCATTAAGTATATGTTCTTTGTAATTTTTCCATTTAATACTTTCGTATTTTTCCCAATTTCCATCTAGTTCTTTATATATCTTTTCCTAGTCATAAAACCTGTTTTAGTGTATTACATCAGCATTTAATGTTATACACAATTATTAGGCTAAAGTGCCTTTACCACATCTTGCACTTCCGGATATTCCAATAAGATAAAGAGGCTTTACCTGATGTTTTTCTAAAGGATAAATTATTTCCACGATTACAGAATTGGGGTCTTTTAGGTCTTTTAAGTCTTAGATTTAAGAATGGTCAATTGAGTCTCTTAATTAAATGACGGCATTTAAATTTGGGCTTATATTGAAGAATTGGAAGACTTTATTTACAATAGATTCAGCGGATTCTATTTATTTTTTATCTATAATTATTGTAGAGAATTTGCTTGGGAAGTCCTATTGTCTACAGCATAGGATTTTCATTTTTTCATCGCCGTTTTTTTTGAGGTCTTTTAGTTCTAAAAATTAAAGAATATCTATGTATTATTAATTCGCCATTTCGTTTATTTATTAGTTTAATTTTTTGCATGTTTCGCTTATTTCTTGCTCGTGTTTATTAAAAAAACCATTTACTGAAATCGATTTTAAGTTTATTTCTTCAAGATGAGTTTTTATGTTTTTTTCGAAAGGTTATTCATTGTAATTGTAGATAACCAAGCTTATATATGTGATTAAGTCGCTAAAATATTGCTCGTTTTTCATTGATAGTTGAAGCTTGTCCATACTTTATAATAAAAGCTACATTTTAATAAATATTCGGGAAGAGTTCTCCTTGTTTATAGAGTATATCTTTATTAAATTATCTATTTCAGTGTTAAATCGTTACTTTGTGTCATTTAAATTAGATATTATAGATAAGTATTTTTTATCTAAGTCAGTTTAGAAAGTACCTATTTAAGATAGTAGAGCAGATGCAGTTTGTTTTATATCTTAGTTTTTTTATAATACATTCAAAAATTCGTCAAGTTTAATGTTATAGTGATCTTTGTGAGAATCTTCAATGCATTTAGAACATACTAGACCTTTTTGTTTGCATTGTAAAGATAAGCATAATTATTATCGTTAATTTTCTGAGTGATATCCACAAGAATTTAACATTTTTTTTATTTATTTATATATTAATTTATTATTATATATATATATATATATATAATATTATTATGTTATTTAATTAATAAATATCTTTTTTTTCTTTTTAAATTGTAATATTTCTTTATAAAAGTAAATTTTTTTTATATTTTTTAATTAATCATCATTTATTAATATTTTTTTTTTTTATTTTAATAACAATAATATTTTCTTTTTTCTTTTTTCTATTAACATATTTGAAAGACTTAATTAAATAATTAATTATTGTTATATAATATGAGAATCTATAAATGGATTAATATAAATTGTTATATTTTATATACAAGATTAGAAAATATCTAATATAAATGTAATAAAAATTCAAAATTTATAAATAGAAGTTATAAATTTATTTATTTTCTTAAATATTTATATATATATTTTAAAAATATCTTTATTACTTTTATTTAAAAATCTAAAAATTTAAAATATTCTTTTAATTTTAAAAAATATTCTGAAATATAATATGAAACAAAATAAAAATAATATAAAAACATTTAAAATAAAAAATAAAATTGAAAATAATAAGAAATACAAATATAAAAATGTATATAATAATTAATAAAAATAAAGAAAATATATAAAAAAAATGTATAAAAATAAAATATATTTATATATATATATTTTTATATATTATTATTTTTATATATTTCTATGTTTTTTTTTATTTAAATAATTTTATTTATTTTTAATTTTTATTTATATATTTTTATTTATTTACAAAGTTATTTAATTTTAATATATTCTTACTATTGATTAAATAATTAAAACATTATACTTATTAAAATTAATGTATTAGACACTTTGGCCGAGTGGTTAAGGCGGCGGCCTGCTAAGCCGTTTCCCTCTGGGAGCGTGAGTTCAAATCTCACAGGTGTCGTATTTTTATTTTTTTTCAAAAGTGTAAAAATATTTAAATAATTATAATTATAAAAAAAATTATGTTTTAGTATTTTATATATAATTTTATTTATTGATTTAAAATATTTTATTTCTTAATAATATAGTTCAAATATCAGAATTGTTCTTTATTCTTTATTTATTTTTGTTTTTAGTATTTAATTATTCTTCATCTATTGTTTATTTAAATTAATTTTATATTAATATTTTTTTTTATTAAATAATTTATAATAATATTAATTTTCTATTAAATAACAATTTTTTTATTAATAATTTTTTATATATAAATTATTCTCAATTATTGAATAAAGGCAAATATAAAATCAATATATAGCAATAAAAATGGCCTTTTAAAAATCGCGTTGTGAAAATTTTAATATAATAGATTATTTAATACAAATATAATTTTTTTATAAATAAGATAATATTCAATGATAATATTTTGAAGTTTACAATATATATGTATTAAATATATAAAAAATAAGATAATTATATATTAATTTTAATTAAAAAAAAATCTTAAATAAAGTAAATCATATTTAAATTATTTAAAATAAATTATACTAATTTTATCTATACTAAAACTCTTTTAAATAAAAAAATCAATAATAATATAAATAATTATATTTATTTTTTTATAAAAAGCATATATCATTAATATTTTAATAATAATAAAAAAAAATATATATTGTTTTTATAATAATTTCAAATTAAAAAAATAATTAATTATAATTTTTTTTTTTTTTAAAATAAATTAATTATAATAATTAACTTTTTAAAAAATAATATATAAATTTTTAATAAATTAATGTAAATATATAAAAACAATAAAAAAAATTATATGATAAATATTAGTTATAAAAAAATATAATAATTATAATTTTAATATATAAGTATATTAAAGATTTATAAAATAAAATATATATTATAAATATATATATTTAATTTTTTAAAAATTTTAAATCAAATAATTTATTAAATATTTTTATCTATATAATACAAAAATTAAATATTCGAATCATATATTTTTGTTTTATTTTTACATTTTACTAAAATAATTTTTTTTTTTATTTAATTGTTTATTATAATTTTTACTAAAATAATTATAATTATAAATTTTAATAAAAAAAATATATAATTATAATTTATATATTTTATTTATTTAATTTAAATCTGTTTTACCGTATTTTTATTATATATATTAAAATAATTAAACAATATTAAATTAATAATTTATGTCTTTATAAAATTATTTTTAGTATTATTATTTTAAATTATATATTTAAATTTATAATATATTTTTTCCTAATAATATTTTTATTTTTATTATTATTATTTAATTATTTTTTTAATTTTTTTAATATTTTTAATTTTTATAGATTTTTAATAATATTAATTTTTTGTATTGATGTTTTCGCAATTATTATATAGATTAAATATTAATTTTAATATAATACTGAGTATTTAAACTGATTTATAAGTGAGTATTAAAATGTTTTATATATTCTTTAGTTAAGTAAATTATTATTAGAATTTATAATGGATTATATAAAGAAATAAAATAATTAGACTTTTATGAAAATTGTAGTGAATGTAGTACACTAATGAATAAATTAGTCTTCATAATAATGAAAAAAATGATTGCTATAAACACATATATGTATATAATACAGTTATCAAAGTAAAATGAATACAATTTAAATTTTAGCGAATGAATTACAGTAATCTAATAAAATAATTACAACGGAAATTTCAGTGGATTTAGTTAATGAATGTAGTAGTATAATGAGATAATTAGATGATTTAGGTTTAACATAAAAAACTAATTAGAAAAATATTAAAATTTTAGATATATCTTTTGAATTTTAAAAGGAGTGAGGATATTATATGGTAATAATATTTTTTAAGTATTTTTAAAAAATAATATAATTTCATTAGTTAAATTTTATAAAATTTAAAATAAATAAATTAAATTATAATATATAATTTTAATATAATAGTTAAATAATTAATTAGTTAATAAATTTAAACAAAACTATTAATTTTTATAAATCGTTATATGTAATATTGATTTGGTTTTTTTTTATTAACTTATTTAATGAAATAAATATTATTATTAAATAAATAAAATTCATTGATATCAATTTAGTTTACATTTTTTTCAGTTAAATTATCAAATCCTAACATACTTTGAATTCGATTTACATTCTCATATTATAAATACTATTATATTTTTACTATTTATAACTCATAGTATGAATATTTGTTTATTTTTTTTCTTTATTAAACATTATTTATATAAAAAAATTATAACATTTTTAATAAAAAATTTAGAATAAAATAATTTTTTAAGCTTTGATAAAAGTTAAATATTTTATATTTGTAAAAGAATATATTATTATAATTATTTATTTAGTAGAAAAATTCATAATTTAAAAGGAGATAAAAATGTATATAATAATTCATAATTAATCTTATAAAAATAAATACATTTATTTAAAAAATAAAAGAAAAGAAAATTAAAAAAAAGTAAAAAAATTAATATATATATAAATAACTTAAAATAATAATAATAATAATAATAATAATAATAATAATAATAATAATAATAACAATTACATGAATAATAATTTCAAAATTTAAGAAATGACTAGTCTTATAATATATATTAAAAGCATCCTTTTATATTTTAAAAGCCTGTTTTAACTTAAAACATAAAACAAAGTATTTTATTCTAAAAAATATAAATAAATTTTAAATTAATATTATTTTTTAGTTTAAACCAATGCATAAACTATAATATAAAATACAGGCAATTAAATAAGTCCATATTATCAAGAAAGCTAAAAAAAAATACAAAAAATTAACTAAATGACAATTAATTTTTTACATAAAATAACAATTTAATATAATTTCCCAAAATACAATCTGAATAAAATCCAAGCATATAACTATTCCAAAAATAAAGTCTAAAAAACATTATCAAATATAATTCAGTATTACAAAGTCAAAGTATAAACTAATAAAGGAATTTAACAAAAATAAAGCCTTTATTAAGCCAAAGTTCTTTAAATCCTGAAATAAGCAATATAAATTAAAAAATGAAAATTAATACCAATATTAATTCATAAGAAGTAGATAATTATTATTAAAAATAAATAATACCTCAACCACATGATTATCATTCTCTAAATAATTAAAATGAACTTTTAGATCAAAAATTATTACCTAAAATTGAAAAAACTAAAACTTCTTAAAAATAAAATAGTTATGTAGTTTAATATGGGTATAACACGCATTAAGGCATATATTTTATTTATTTATTTATTTTTTTTAAAAAAAAATAATAAATTAATAAAAAAAAAAGGTTTAATAAGAAATTATAATGAAGATAGAATTAGTATAGTATTAAATATAGGAAAACCTTTAAATAAATAAAATATATAGGATTGGCCAAATGTTTCTTTTTATGGAATTTATGACGGACATGGAGGTTGTTAATGCGCTGATTTTTTAAAAGATTAATTACATAATTTTGTATTAAAAAACATTTATTTTTTTATAAATTTTCTTAGATTATTAAAGATGATAATTTTCCACATAATCCCAAATAAGCTATTATAAATGGATTTTTAAATGCCGATGAGTCTTTTTTAAAAAAAGCCGATAATCCTTAAAATTTAGATCGTTCTGGTTCTTGTATTATTTTATTAATGATTTTAAGTAAATATTTAATATTATTATATTTCTTAGAACAAAAACCAAAAAAAATAGATGATTTAATTTTTGTTGCTAATTTAGGAGATTCTAGAGCTGTTTTAAGTACTAATAATGGATAAAAAATTATTGCTTTGAGTACTGATCATAAACCAAATCATCCTGATGAAGAAAAAAGAATATTATAAAATGGAGGAAAAATTTATTAGTATAAATAAATAAGTATATATGTATATTATTTTTTATTTTAATTAGACGATAAGTTCCTATTATTAACCCCGGAGGACCTATATTATATATAAATGGTCCACATAGAGTTATCCCTGGAAGATTAGCAGTTATTTTATTTTAAAAATAATTATATATGTATATATGTTTTATTATAAGGTTTCTAGAAGTATGGGGGATATAGAAGCAAAATTTAAAAAATATGGAGGAAATATTAATGTAGTTATTGCATAACCTGATATTACTTGTATTTAAATTTAATAGAATTACGATTTTATTTTACTTGGATGTATTTTTATGATTTTTTTATACTTTTATTTTTATATTTTTTAAAGGTGATGGAGTTTTTGATAAATTAAGTAATGAATAATGCATAAATTTTATGTGGTAAAAAATAAATTAATAAAAAAATAATAACAATTGTGATGATATATTTGGCGAGGCTATTGAAAATTTACTTTAATAAAGTTTATTACATAAAAGTTTTGATAATATTAGTATATTAGGTATAAATTTTAAATAATAATTAATAATAAAGTCTTGATTTTTATATAAAGTATATTGCTAAACTATATATATATATATATATATATATATATATAAATAAAGTAAATT